TATTACGGTTGACTGATTTGATCCAAACAATTGGTATAAAAACAGGTCTCAATCGTCTGTTTAATAACTTTGAGAATTTCCTAGGCAATCTTGATCAATTTCGTCAATCAACCGTTAAAGATGACTTCAACCTTCAGCTCTTACTACATTAAAGATTCACAATCGGTCAACAAACCACCTTATTTCAATGAAACCAACTATGCCTATTAAATCTTTGAACAGATATTGTCTTGTACTTACCTCGGATTAATAAAAAAAGACTATGCATATTGAAAGAATATGATGAAGTTTTTCATTCAGCCAAATGATTTGGGAGCATGAAGCATTATGATGAAAAGACATTCTGCTCCAACAAGAGAAATGAAGTGAAGATGAGAAGAGAATGTTCCAACACAATGCTAAAGCCATACACATTCTATTTTGTGCACTTGGCTCCGATGAATATGATAGAGTATTATCTTGCTTTAACGCCTATGAAATTTGAGATAAGCTAGAAGTTATACATAAAGGAACAAATGGGGTAAGAGAAACTAAGATTAGTCTTCTCAATCACAATTATGAAAACTGTAAGATGAAATCGGATAAAGATATCAAATCCATGATAAATAGATTTTCGGTTATTGTTAATGACCTCAAAGGGTTTGGAGAGATCATCTCAAATGACAAGCTAGTTAGGAAGATGATATATTATCTTCCTAAATCATTACAATCCAAGAAGACCATCATAGTTGAATCAAAGAACCTAAAGACCCTTACTATAGATGAGTTCATTGGCTCTTTGCTTACATATGAATTGATGATAAAGTAAGAAGAAGAGTAAGAGAAGAAGGAAGAAGAAAAGAAGAAAACAAAGAAGAAAAATGATGTTAGCATTGCCTTTAAGTCCACTAATGACGTTGAAGAAGATTTTAGTAAAGAGGTGAATGAAGAAAAATATATTACCAAGCTCTTCAAATGATACAAATGATTCATGACATCAAAAAGAAAAGATGTGAAGCATGAATTAAAGAAAAATCCCACCATATGCTATAATTATAAAAAAACCAGGACATGTCAAGTACGATTATCCACGTTTGGAGAAGAAGGGATCAAATAGGCCAAAAAAGGAAGATTTTTGTGACTACATGAAGTGATAAAGACACCACCGATGATGAAGTAGCCAACATTTGCCTTATAACAATCCAAGAAGATTCAAAAGTATTCTCTAACTCATCCAATTCAAATCCATATACATTTGATGAGTTGCAAGATGTATATGATGAATTAGTGTTAGAATGTGAAGTCATAATTCCAAAAAAACAAAAAAAAGATACATTAAAAATTGAAAATGACTCACTTTTTATGACTAACAATGAACTTGAAAGAAAAATTATTGATTTGCAAGAAAAATTAAATAATTTTGAGAAAAAAATTTATGCTTGTAAATTTTTCTTTCCAAAGTTCATAAGGATCGTCAAAAGAAAATCGATGATCTTGAGAAAGAAAAAACTAATTTTACAAAATTATTTTTATTTTTCTCTTTCAATGACTCAAATTAGGGTTGTTGATTGGGTGCCCAAGCCCGAGGAATCGATAACCACGAGTGTCATATTAAATCATTTATCTAATGGCATGTTCTTGAAATAACCTATGATACACTTGAATAAATTTTTAAGTCAAATTCATTGTTAGATAATCACATTCATGTGGTTTGTCCGTCTTCGAATAATTATCGTCATCCTTCTTAATTTATTTTTGTTAAATCTTAAAATTTAGACTACACTGACTATACACAACACTATTATAAATCGTCGGTTATGATTTTTCATCCAAATTAAAAAGAATAAATTATTTAATCAAATATTACCGTCAACAAATATAATATGTTATACACATACAAATATATGTACCTAAAATGGTCTCCATAAAAATGATAATGATGAAAAAGAACACGGTATTTGAATTCCCCGTCGATTATAAGGCGTTATTTTATTGACTCGTAACTATTAAAAGTTAGAAATTATCCCTTAATTATAGGACATTACTCTACTGAGTTTTTCGACTATTAAAAGTTAGAAAATGGGGTGACCATTCATATGTTCCAAACTTGTCATTTTTATTAAAAATTTCACAACGATCTGAGTTATACGTTAACATGTTAACTGTGATATTTTAAAATCTGATCTCAAAATCTCAAATGACTCATATATATATCAACAAGTTAACGTCTAGCTCAAATTATCATCAAAATTTTAACAAAAAAAAAGGGACAAGTTTAGAATATATGAATAATCAGGTGATCATTTTGTAACTTTTAATAGTCTTAATACTCACAAAACAATGCCCTATAATTGAGAGATCATTTGTATACTTTACTGTTTTATTATTAAGGCGAGGAAATATCTCTCATAAATGAATTAAATAAATCTTAAATAAATCTTAAACAGAATAACATCTCATCTCAATGGCGGATCCGAATTTTCTTCGAATAATAATTCATTTTATTGACTGTGTTTGTACTAAAATTTTATTTGTGTCTACTCATACAAAAATTTTATATTTCTAATATATATGTGTGTCTGTTTACAAAAATATTTTTAGACTCGTCAATATCTTAACTAAAATATTATTTAAAAGTTTACAAATATGATAAATTATATACACTTACTCACTAAACTTTACTCTCTCTCATATTTCACCCGTCGTACTTTTAATTGTTTCAATTTACTCACTGAACTTTATGCATTCAATTTTTTTAGTCACTTATTTAAAAGTTTACAAATATGATAAATTATACACTACTCACTAAACTTTACTCTCTCTCATATTTCACCCATCGTACTTTCAATTATTTCAATTTACTCACTGAACTTTATGCATTCAATTTTTTTAGTCACTCCACCGTTAACTTTTTAACGGCATTATGAAGTGGATTAAATAAATATTTTTAATCTTCAAAATAATCATTAAAATACAAGTAAAAAGAAAATATTTAAAAAGTAATATACCCTTAACCCCAAAACATTTTATTTTCTCAAATCCAAAGCTCCATCACTGTTTCTCTTTGATTAAATGAGTATTTGAAAATGAGAATTTTGAGGAGGCTTGAGGTTTTATGAAAGGATGAAAAAAGACAGTGAAACTGAATTGGTGTACTTTTAATAGTTTATTTGTTGGTTATTGTAGGGATATAATTTTTTAATTGGGGTTGAAAGGAAATAAAGGAGAAATTTAATTCCATCACTCTTCTCTCACGTTTTAGTTTTAGCACTAAGGGGAATAATAAAAATATATAAAAATAATATTAATAAAATATTAATGGGTTAAAAACTAATAAAAAACTAACACATCATCACAGAGTCAGAGAAAAAACACAATGGAGTAACCAAAAAAATATTCAATATATAAAATCCAGTGAGTAAATTGAAAAAATTGAAAGTACGATGAATGAAATAGGAAAAATAATATAGTTCAATGTAAGCGAGTAATTTACCCTTACAAATATTTTAAGTGAAGTTCTATATAGACAACAGACTATGTTAATGAGTGTCAATTCTCCGGTAGTAATTAACGTGTTGATGTGACAATATATAGTTAGCTAGTTAATTATGTTTATCATGTAGTACGGGTGTATTCAGTTCGGTTCGGTTCGCTTTTTTACTAAAAATTGAATTGAAACGCAATAAACGATTTTTTTAAAATTTAAATCGAAACTGAAACCGAATGATTAAAAAATCAAAATATGTGAAACCGATTTTTTCAGTTCGATTCAGTAATACGGTTTTTCATAAACCGAAAATATTATTCGGCATTTGGGTTTTTTTTTTGTATTTAATTTAATTGGACATTTGGGCTTACCGCTTATAGGTAAAGGTAAGTGGGTAACCGGTTGGACTGACCTAAATTGTTTATTCGGTTCAATATGGAACAAATGGGTTCTATATGGAAAATTCGAACCGAACCGAATTAAAAAATTTAAATGTTTAAACTAACCCGAAACCGAACCGTATAAGGTCAATCCGAACCAAACCGTTTTACTCGGTTCGTGTCGATTTTTCGATTTTCTCGGTTTCGTTGCTCAGCCTATCATGTAGCCTATCTTTTGTATTATTGATTAATTTCAAAAGGAATAATATCACATCTGATACTTGCACTTTCATAAATATGTAATATGATATTTATATTTTTAAAATAGCCAATATAATATATGTATTTTGATAGGATATCTAACAGTGTACTTGTACTTTTAAAATATTGACTGTGTACATATATTTTGATAAAATATCTAATATAATATTTGAACCATCATTTCATGTATTTTTATAATATAATTGAAATTAACGTCATCCATAAGTACCAAATCAAACAATAAAAATTTAATAATGGAATATTTTTGACCATTTTAAAAGTATATTATATATATATAAATATATATTATAAAAAAGAAGATAGATACGAATAGATTTGACTACATCGTCAAAACTAATCACAAAATAGCATGGTTTTCAAAACCGGACCGGTCAGTGAATCGGTCGTGCTACCGGTTCACTGGATCAACCAGTCGAACCGGTCAGAAGAACCGGACGATCTCATAATTAATTAATTATTTAAAAAATTAAATAAAAATACCAAAAACATTTAATAAAAAACAGTTTTTTATATCACAAGACATATTCAAAGCAAGTCAGAACATATATAAGTTAAAAACCATAAAATCAAGTGAAACAAAATGATTCAAATCAACTACAACATAATATTTAATGTAAAACATATTAAATAATAAATATAATTATATAACTATAATCAAAAAATAAATTTGGAGCTAAAAAAATCGTAACAAACGATGTCGTTTGGTTTAATTTTTTAAAAAAAAATCCACATGGCTAAGAAACATAGAAGAGCATCAAAAAAGTCTAAAGAGTAAAAATATGAAAACAAAACAATCTCACGTGACTAAGAAACATAGAAGAGCATCCCAACTGACTTCTATAAATAATAGAGGTAATTTGACATTCAAAATCATGGAGCCTCTTGGTGAGCATAGAGCGAACTATTCTTTCGCTTCAATCAAGCTCGAATTTTAGACTTCAATCGAGCTTCTAATTTTTTTTGAGTTCGAGCCTTTTTGAGTTCAAGTTTCAATATTATATTTTGAGTTTGAGTTTGAGTTGAACTTGATAATTTTTAGCTCGTGAGTTTTTGAGTCGAGTTGAGTTTACTTTAAAGTTTTCGAGTTTGAGTTGAGCTCAGCAATACTCGAGTTCGACTCGGCTCGTTTAACAAACGACGTTGTTTGATTTAATTTTTTTAGAGCCGATTCTATCGGGTTTTAACAGTTCACGGTCCTGTCCGGTTCGAACGGTTCGCAGTCGGTTCAGTGGTTCCTTCCGGTTCACTAGTAGCGGTTTAACCGGTGTTGAATGGACCGGACCAAGCAGCGGTTCCCGATTAAACCGGTTGAACTGGCCAGTCCAGTCCGGTTTTCAAAACACTGTAAAATAGGATGAAAACTATTGAAAGACCACCGATAAATAATATCAATAAATAATATACACATGCAGCAATTTGAAGCAGTGTATTTTATATAAAAAAAACATTATTTTTTTATGGATGTTCTAATATCCATTTCAAATTAGAGGAAAGATTGTGTTCATTATTTTTGTTGGGAGTACCGTGTTAGATATTCCAAAAGTGTTGATTGCTCACACCCAACCCCGAGACGTAGTGGAATCGGTAACAGAAACACGGTGGCCACTGGTCCCCGGGACAAACGCTGTACGTTGACTAGCACCACAGGCTTTGCTATTAATTTCTATAATTTATCTGACCAACTCATCACTCTCAATCCAGGTTTTTCGAAGATCATGAACAAAGCTATGACAGAAACAAGCTCTGCAATAACACTTGAAAAAACTCCAACATGGGCTGTCGCTGCTGTTGTTTTTGTCTTGATTTCTATCTCCATTTTTATCGAACACTTATTTCATCTTCTAGCTAAGGTCAGTACTCAATACAGTTCTAACCATGCAGAAAGTAACCCTTTTTTCTTTCTTTCATGCACTAGTTTCATATATTCTTATTTTCATTTTTTTCTCCCTTTGATAGTATTTCAATAAGAGAAGAAGGAAATCTCTTATCCAGGTTCTTGACAAGATCAAATCCGGTGAGAATATAGATGGAAACATTTTTTTACATTTTCTTCATTCTTTTGGAGTTGCAAATTATGACCTCTTTTTATAATTGCAGAATTATTGCAGCTTGGGTTCATTTCATTGCTGTTAACTGTGAGTGAAAAGCCAATTGCAAATGTATGCATCCCCAAGAGTGTAGGTGAAACCTTTCTCCCTTGCAGTCATCCTTCAAATGATAGCCCTGAAGAAGCAAAATGTGAAGCTCAGGTATGTGTTCGATGAAATTCCAGACTTATGTTTTTGAAGTTAAGTTTGCAAGAAATTTACTCTTTTGTGAATGATTCTTTTTGCTGCCATTTTCGAGCAGGGGAAGGTCTCATTGTTGTCTAGAGAAGGTGTGAATGAACTTCAGTACTTGATATTTGGGCTGGCTTTCTTCCATTCTTTATCGTGCGTACTCACATTTAGTCTTGGCATGGCAAAGGTGATTCTTTTTTTAAGGAAAAATTCCCTTTTCTTTGACCTTTTGATTCATTATGAGTATTATATTGGGCCATCAATGGGGTTTGGGTGTTCAGTTTTGACTTTTGTAAAAGCATAGGGAAATTGAGTACTATAGAAAAGGGAAATTTCCACATAATGTGAACTTCCTATTGGTTCTTGAGAGAGCCACATGGGGAAATGAAACTTAGGTTTCACATTTTAGGGTTTTTTTATACTAACAAAATTCACCCCAATGGTTGTTTTGATTTCTATTTTTTATGAAACATTTTGATCTTAACATTTTATTTTAAGATCAAATGATTTATGATTGGATAAAATGTTCGTTAACCAACAATTAATGTTTTTCATTGACATGACAAATTTTATGTTTTTAAAATAATGATGTGACATATGTTATATCATTACTTGTTTATATGTGTCATGTGTCTTACTATCACTTATGCACATGGACATGTGCTACCCCATCACTTATGTAAATGTGGCATGCGTCACATTATCAATTATGTACATGTGGCGTGCACTACGTTATCACTTACGTACATGTGGTGTGTCACATCATCAATTTAGGATACATAAGACTTATCACATGAGTAATCAGTGTTAACCATTAGTTAAGTAACCGTTTCAATCTAACTATGAGTCATTTTTCCCAAAAATAAAATATTGAGAATTAAAATAATCTTAAAAATATAAGATAAGAATCAAATTAACTAATCAAATATAAAGGATATTTTATGTTATTATGCTTTTTTTTATTTGGCAGATGAGGAGATGGGAATCTTGGGAGTCTGAAACAAGAACATTAGAATACCAATTCTCAAATGGTAAGCTTTTGGAAAGTCCTTGGAGGCATCCTAACATTTATGGCATCCTTATCCTTCAGCTACAATGGCCTAAATAGATGACTATCTATCTTACTTTCCTCCACTAAGTAGATCCTAGGAGGTTCCTCCTTATCAATCAAACACCATTTGCAAGGCGACATCTCAGGTTCTGGAGTGAATACAAATTTCTTCGTTGGCCGGTGAGTTCAACTTTTCAAGCATCATCCTCTACCACGAAACCGATCGTCTAAATATGATGTGCTTGACATGTTTTTTTTTTCAGGCGTGTTTCCTTCGGCAGTTCTATGCATCCGTCTCTAAAGTTGACTACTTCACTCTTAGACATGGATTCATCACGGTAAATAATACAAATTAGTTCAAAATACATTTGTAAATACAGATAGAATGATATAATCCAAAAAGACTTTGACTTTTCAGGCACATTTTTCAGAGGGAAGCTACTTTGATTTCCAAAAGTACATAGAAAGAGCTTTGGAAAAGGACTTTGGAGTAGTAGTTGGAACAAGGTTAGTGTGTTTAATATGAAATCATGATGCTTATCCCACATCGAAATTTGATAATAACATTTAACCTTTGTTTTGTTCTTTTTTTTTTCTCAGCCTCTGGGTTTGGATTTTCTCAATGTTCTTCATATTCTTGAATGCACATGGTAATCAACTCAAAGATAATACTTAACATTAACTTAAAATATATGCAGTTTTATAATTACATTGGTACTGATACCGAAAATTTTCATTTATTGATGTAATCTGCAGGTTTTTATGGTTATCTCTGGCTTCCTTTCATTCCACTATTGGTGAGTAAAACAAATAGTACTGATCATCCATAAGTAGATTAAGAACAATACATTGAAGGCATATAAAAAAATCGTGTTAACGTTTAAATAATAACTTCAATCCTTATATTTTTAAGTATTTTAACCACTTTTAATTTAGTTGACTGAAGGTCGATTGCTCACGTAGTATATCATATGCCTAAAGTGATGATGTGTCATTTATCACATACCGAAAGTGATGATGTGATATTATTATATGTTCAAAGTGATGACGTGATATTGTCATGTGTCCAAAGTGATGACATTGAACATGCCACAATATCACTTTAGACATATAAAACTTGTCACGTCAACGATAAGTATTGACCGTTGATAAATTAATGATTTTTATCCAATCATGGGACATTCTACCCAAAATAAAATATCGGAGTCTAAATTCTTAAAAAAATACTGAAGTGATTATTTTATTGTTCTTTAGGGATGAATTTTTACATTAGAGGCCTACATTTAAACACATTTTGTTTAACAGATGTTATTGCTGGTGGGAACTCAACTTCAGGGCATCATCACAAGGATGTGTTTGGAAAGCCATGAGAAATCTCAAGTTGTGAGAGGAACTTTCCTTGTTAAGCCTAGTGATCATTTCTTCTGTTTTGGTCGCCCCAAGTTGCTTCTCCACCTTATGCACTTGATACTGTTCCAGGTCAACCCTTCAAAATAATCATCTTCAATTCCCTCCACCGTATTCCCTTTCCATAGTTACCAGAACTTAACATACACATTTTGGGTCTGCAGAATTCATTTCAACTGGCATTCTTCACATTGACTTGGGTAAGCAGTTTTATTTTTTAATAACTGGAATGATTACAAGATAGTATATGTTTAAAATTCTTCTAACTAATCGACAACGCATACACACTCTGCATATACAACCACTCGAATTTAGGACCTTTAGGGAAAAAAACAACATTCCCTTTTATTACTAAGGTCACTTGATGGGTCGACGTTGTTATTTCAGTTATTTATTTATTTATTTCATTCTAATTTTGCTTAAAAAATGCAGTACAGATTTGGATTAAGATCATGTTTCCATAGAAAGACTGAAGAAATTGTGATAAGACCAGCGGTGGGAGTTTTGGTTCAAATCCTTTGTGGATACGTTACTCTGCCTTTATATGCTTTGGTCATTCAGGTAACAATATTGCATGCTTTTCATGTACACACCATCAGTAAATTCATAACTACCCATAGATAGTAACCTTCAATAAATTTAAGATTCGAACAGTTGTATTTGCGAATGATTAAGAAAGATTCTGAAGAGATATTATATTATAATCACCCTAGACTATCAAAAATAAATAAATTTAAAATTCGAATATGTACATCAATGATCCCTTACCGAATTTTTAACAGATGGGAACATCAATGAAGAAAGCCATCTTTGGAGAAAAAGTGGTGGAAGGTTTGAAGAGGTGGAGAGCCAATGCTAGGAAAAACATTGCACTAAAAGATAATACAACATCATTTGATGCCTCTCCTTCACTTGGAACTCCACCTTCTTTCAGACTCGATATTGCTGGTCGTGAAAAATCGGACCGGCCATCGGACTCAGAGTACCTTGCCATCGGGTAATTGGTGCAAGGAGAGAAGTAGAAGATTGTCAAAAGAGAGATTCTTTTGATGTGAGAAAGGTATATTGAAAAAACTTTGAAAACCGTCGCTAAAAGTGTCTTCTATGAGCAATATTTGGACAGATTTTCATGCTTATACTGACGTTCTTTTTTTCTGTCCTCGTATGTGCATTTTATGTGTACGTCGGAACAGAGATTGAATTTTATTTTCTTGACCTCGGAAATAAAAAGGGTAAATTACATCAACAGTCTCTTAAATACAAGGCATTTTTGTTGTGTTCCTCGATTTTGAAAAGTTACGAAATAATTACTTGAGTTAACAAAAGTTATAAGTTAATATTTAAAAAAAATTAACTACATATGACATAGTAGTTAATAAAATTGACATAATAACAAATTTAGTCTTTAACCTTTACAATACAATAAAACACACAAGATATAATAATTAACGTAGTTCAACCTTGTCTACCTCTAAGGATGAGAAAAACAATAATCCGCTATAAACGTAGATATAATGAAGAGTACAAATATGTGATATAAAAGAATTTAATTTGTTATTGACGGGGCCAAAGTTTCGGGAATATTGATCATCTCACGAATCATGACCTCTAAGGATGAGAAAATTTCGTTTTGAACAAGACAATCATAGGCATAACAATTTAGAGGGCATAAAAGAATTTAATTTGTTACATGGATTACTAACGGAAAAGATGCAATTGTTATTAGTGATCAATATCGTGTTGTACATGATATTTATCGTGTTGTACATAATATTGCTCGTGATTGTACAATTGTAAATAAAGTTAACACTTATGATAACTTTATCGATTTGAAAACTAAGTTGCCTCGTACATTTAAGTTTGGACAAGGCTTGGATTCAATGGACAATTATTGTTGATTAAATATCTTTAAGCAGTCCTGTAGAAGAAGTGAAAAAATTATTGGTCAAGGTGAAGATTTTAACTTAATTATGTATTTCAGCTGCTGGTACTGATTGATCATGGCTTGAACTGAAGTTAATCCATAAGCTTGTAAGATTTATCACTTCCTCTAGCTGCAATTACTCACTATTGTATTTGTATTTAGGGTAAACTATATCATTGACAACTCATAGTCCTTTTACTTTTGTCATCGATCTTTCAATTTTGTCAATCAGATTACTTAACTATTTAAATGTGTTAATTCAAGCCACTAGCCGTTATTGGTCGATGGAAATGATGATGTGACAGTTAAAGAAATTGACATAATTATACACTTAGTACTTAATGTTTATATATTCTATCAATTTGGTCCTAATTTAAATTTAATTTAATAAATTTAATCCTCTAATCATATTGCGACGTTGTCCCAACACGAATGGAAGGTATTTTTTTAATTTAATTATTTTATTTTCCACCAAATTATATGGTGACACGTGTCACCATCGGATTAGATAGAAAATTGAGAGTAGAAAAAAAACCCCAAGTGGGGATAGGGAAATTGAACCTGTGCAAGGTTGGATAATAAAACAACACCCAAACCAACAAGCTAAGAGCACAATCTGATTTCAAATATGCAAAATACAATATATAAGATATCGTAATAAATGAGGAAAAAAATTAAAAAGAAGTAATAATCTCATATATATATATATATATATATATATATATATATATATATATAAAATTTAATTTTTTTAACAAATATATAAAATTATTTGATAAATTTAACAACAATTATATATATATATAATCATTAAATTTATGTTTGTAACTTAAGTAATAATTTTAATTTTCTTACTAATAATTATATGGATATAAATTAATTCATTTATATTACAATATTTATGAAATTATTTTAAAAAATAAATTATATGTCAGAGTTAACAATAATTTATATATACAGTCATCAAATTAATTTTTTTTAACTTAAGTAACAATTTTAAAAAATTTATTAATAATTTCATATATATATGTTTTAACTTAAAATTATTTATTTGACAAATTTAACAACAATATATATATATATATACATATATAATCATTAAATTATTTTTTAACTTAAACAACAATTTTCTTAACTTTTTTTTCTCATTTCATTACAATATGTTATATATATATATATGTTGCATTTTGAAACTAAATATTTGCTTCTAACTCGGTTGTTTGGGCGTTGGCTTATTATCCATTCTTGTCCAGGTTTGATTCCCTTCATCCCTCACTCTGGTGTTTTACTTCTACTCTCAATTTTCCAACCAATCCAATGGTGACACATGTCACCATATGATTGGATGGAAAAGAAAATAACTCAATTAAAAAAAATTTCCATTTGTGTTGTGACACGTGTCACAATATCATTAGATGATTAAATTTATCAAATTAAATTTAAATTAGGACCAAATTGATAGAATATAAAAATATTAAAGACTACATGTATAATTATGTCAATTTCTTTAATTGTCGCGTCAGCATTTTCATCAATCATTAACGTCTAATGGCTTGATTGAACACATTAAAATAGTTAAGTGGTCTGATTGACAAAATTAAAAGATCAATGACAGAAGTAAAAGGACTACATAGTTGAATGGTCAATGATATAGTTTACCCTTGTATTTATTATCTAGGAACCTGTTCAAAAATACTTTAACGAAAGAAACATAAGAGTTTTTTGTTACAAGTATAACAATCCGAGACAAAAAAGAAAAAATCAAATGTTATTAACAAATGAAAACTATCGTTTAGAATAAAAAACTCGAATGTTGATAGAATAACAATATGGAAAGTAGTTGAGGCATGCAGCTACGCAAATTCCTTAAGACATATTTTCGGTCACTCCTTAGTGCTCGAGATCTTTAGTCGTATGTCTCACAAGATACAATAACAAGATGATAACAGTATAGTAGAACAACTACAGAGATCACAAACTATCTTGCATGAGGCTATCTTCGAAAACTAGAGGAAGAAAAGAGTTTTGGGTTGTGTTTAACATACTACGTTTATACGGTATTTATAGAGTTTCACATAGGAGGAGAATTGAAAATAATATATTCTGAAAAGTAAGGTCATTAATGAGGATGTGAATAAATTCGAAAGTAATCAATTAATATCACATTAAATCGAATATATTCGTGAACTACAAGACATATCATATTAATATTTAAATTAAACGAAAATCATAAATATTCTTTTTAATTTAGAATATTAAAAAAGATATGCTAATCAAGAAAACATAGGTTATCCCTACACTTGCGTGCAAGGTTCAATCTCAATAAAAATTTAATTACTAAGTTGGTCGTGGATATAAACCATTCTCATGCTTGTTATCCCATCAATGTGGGATATGAGTTTCTCCTTCTTTTTTTACACAACACATTTCACAGAGCATCAATTTCTCATTCATTATTCAACCATTTTGAGCATATGAAATACGGTTGTAAAGATCTCATGGAGTAGAATATGAATTAATAAATTTATTATTTGAATCTCTATCTTTATCCTTAGAAAATATATCTCAAAATTTCTAATTTATCACAATTTTTTTCAAAACATTTTTCGCTAGATATTTTATCAAATAGGATCGTCCTGTTCCAATAGAGCCTATCACTAAAATATCACCGGAGGAAGATAGGGTTAAACCGAGCGAAAAGGATTTCTCATGAGACGGGAAATGAAAATTATTAGTCCCACACGATGTTTGTTTGTGAATAAGTGATTATCTGCTAATGAATTGCTCGAAAAATGGCATTCCTCCAAGGGCATTGACCAAGAACTAGAAAGATGCAGTGAATCTGGTAGCACATCAGCTATCACATGACCATGGAACCCAAAACTAACGTTTTCCCATTTCTCTCTCCTGATAGAAATTACAAGGTATCTTCACTTTGCCTAGAAATAATTAGCAATGTGGGGCTCCATATTTGAAATTAAAGCTTTCCCCTATCAATTTCTCATACAAGCAGTTAATGTTCTCTGAATAGATAGATTATTAATGAAGTTGAAATTTAGTTGGTGTGGAAAAATATGTAGCTTAATTTTGCTCAGAAGTTGATACATAATCGTCAGCAGGGCGATCTAATTACTAAAAAAAATATCAACCACAAATGACAACCCCAAAGTAGACGCATCTAACTAAAGTAGGCCCATGGAAGTCGTAGCCACTGTGACACAATTGACGGGATAGAACAAAGATAATATCAGAGTTCACAACTACTTGTATTGCACTCTTCTTCTTGTTAATGAACAAAGCACTCTCAGATTGATGGAGCAATCGAAAAGGCATTTTGAAGCGTCCAGCTCTTTTTTTCTTGTGTACATTGAAGTTATTGTTCTTCTCTCATGCTGCAATTTGCTGTGTCTTAACTTGCTTGGTTCAGCAACAGCTGTTAGAGGAAATGACACTGACCTAGAAGCTTTACTCCATTTCAAAGCCGAGATAACCGGCGATCGGCTCGGGGTTATGGCGTTGTGGAATAGTTCCATTCACTTCTGTCAGTGGCAAGGTGTTACATGCGGCCGCAAGCACCAGAGAGTCACCAAGTTGGCGATGCAATTCCTCAAACTCTCGGGACCCTTGTCACCATACATTGGAAATTTGAGTTTCCTCCGGGAGTTGAATCTTGCAGGCAACAACTTCTACAACCACATTCCTCAAGAAATCGGTCGTTTAAGAAGATTGGAAACACTGAAACTGACCAACAACTCCATCAGCGGCCAAATCCCTCACAATTTATCTGCTTGTTCTAAGCTTTCATTCGTTCATACGAGAGGCAACAAGCTAAGTGGAAAAATTCCTGATTTTCTTGGTTTCTTGCCGAATCTGAAAGTCCTAAGCTTAGTCATCAACAATTTTAGTGGGATCATCCCTCCATCATTGGGGAACTTGTCATCCCTAGAGGTACTTGCTTTGACAGAGAATGCATTAACTGGCATCATACCTGAATCTCTTGGACATCTGAAAAATCTCTCATATTTCTCGGTATTAGGAAATGCAATTTCAGGTACTGTTCCAGTAACAATGTTCAAACTCTCCAACATTAGATTATTTGATATTGGTCAAAACAAGATTCAAGGTACTCTTCATATTGACTTAGAAATCACTATGCCATATGTTGAGTTCTTTTCCATAGGGGGGAACCAAATCTCTGGACAAATCCCGGTTTCAATATCCAATGCCTCAAATCTCAATGTACTTCAATTCAATGAGAACAACGTCAGTGGAAACGTGCCTTCGTTAGAGAAGCTGGACAAATTGTTTCAGCTTCTCCTAGACGAAAACCATTTGGGTCATGGGAGAGAAGGTGATCTAAAATTTCTCTGCACTCTAGTCAATGACACTAAATTAGAAAATATAGGGATAAGTGAAAATAATTTTGGAGGGGTATTTCCAGAATGCATTAGTAACTTTTCTAAAACCGTTTCGTATTTAGCTATAGAACAGAACAAAATATTGGGAAGAATTCCGGATGGGATTGGAAATTTGATCAATTTGGAGGTGCTTGTGGCATCACAAAATCGACTATCAGGTCCCATCCCTTTTTCTATTGGGAGGCTTCCGAGGTTGAACATATTTTTTTCTCACACCAATTTTCTCTCTGGGGTTATTCCACAATCTATTGGAAATTTATCAATGCTAACTGGACTTGCCTTGGATGCTAACAATCTCCAGGGCATCATTCCTGCAAGTATTGGTAAGTGCCAAAATTTGCTTAGATTGGGATTATCTCATAACAACCTTAGTGGAACAATACCCCCTGAGATACTTGGACTCTCATCCTTGTCCATTGAACTAGACTTATCATCAAACTTTTTAACTGGTGAGCTGCCTGTTGCGGTGGAAAAATTGAAAAATCTAGGTGAATTTGATGTTTCTCAAAATAGTTTATCCGGTTTTCTCCCGGAAAACCTTGGTAGCTGTGTAAGTCTAGAGAAGTTGTACCTGGATGGAAATTTCTTTGAAGGGCCTATTCCTTCATCTTTTAGTTCATTGAAAGGTCTTGTAGTATTGGACGTAGCTGACAATAATCTATCCGGTAGGATTCCAGAATTTGTTGTGAGCTTCAGATCATTACGGTATTTAAATCTCTCTTTCAATGATTTTGAGGGAGAGATACCAAGTGGAGGAGTCTTTAAGAATGCAAGTCTTATATTTGTTGAGGGGAACAAAAGGCTTTGTGGTGGCATCCATATGTTACACTTGTCCAAATGTAAATCCAAAACATCTTCAAACTCTTCTCTTAGAGTAAAACTTGCAATTGGTGTTGTGATTTTAGGAGTGACATTGGTATTTACTTGTCTCCTCATCATCATGTGGTTTAGAAAGAAGAAATACAAGAAGCAAACAACAACTTGTGCAGAAAATTCACTATTACAGTTATCATACCAAAGTATCCTAAGAGCTACCGACGGATTCTCCACGCAAAATTTGGTTGGTTCAGGAAGCTTTGGTTCTGTATACAAAGGAATTCTTGAAGTGAGTGGATTGGTTATTGCAGTAAAGGTGCTTCATCTTCTGAATCGTGGAGCTTCAAGGAGTTTCTTGGCTGAATGTGAGGCCTTGAAGAACATTCGACATCGGAATCTTATCAAAGTATTAACAGCAATTTCTGGTGTCGATTATCAAGGAAATGATTTTAAAGCATTGGTTTATGACTTCATGGTAAACGGAAGCTTGGAGGAGTGGCTGCATCCCTCTATCAGCATGAATGAATTGGAGACAGCGAGATACCTGAACTTCTTCCAAAGAGTTAATCTCACCATAGATATCGCTCATGCATTGGAGTATCTGCACCATGGTTGTGGAATATCGATCATTCATTGTGACCTCAAGCCAAGCAATATTCTACTCGACGAGGAGATGCTTGGCCATATAAGTGACTTCGGTTTGGCAAAAATCATTTCTGCAGATGTACTTAACAGTTCCGTTAATCAATCAAGCTCCCTTGGATTAAGAGGAACCATCGGTTATACTCCACCAGGTAAATTCACTTTATTATCTTTCCACTGTTTAAAGGAAAAATATGCAACTAAAATATATTTTTCATGTATAAAAAGTGCATTCTCTGCAAATATTTCTGTAAATATTTTTAGATGTGATCTTTTATGATTTAATTATAGAATATGGAATGGGAAGCGAGTTGTCAACTAAAGGTGATGTGTACAGCTATGACATCCTCTTGCTAGAGATGTTTACAGGAAAAAGACCAACTGATGAAAGGTTCAAAGAAGATTTAAGTCTTCACGACTTTGTTGAGGCAGCTTTGCCTGGACGAGTATTTGAGGTTATAGATCCCATTCTTCTCCAAGAAAGAGTCGAAAATGACAAACATCTTCGGTGCTTGAATTTGATACTCGAAATAGGACTCACTTGTTCTGCTGAATCACCGAATGAACGAATGGACATGAGTGATGTTGTTGCCAAGCTTTGTTCCATTAGAGACGAGCTTCATTCAACTCGATCACGCCGACAGGTTATAACTTAAATATTCTGCTCAGCGATCACCAAGTACTTTTGAGATGAATAATGTGTTCAAATGATATAAAGTAATACAGATTTCCTTGTTTTGTTCATTTGCTGGTATCAAATGTTCCATAAGGATGAACCTAAGACGCTAAGGTCATGTAATTCTAACATCAAGTTAGTGTTGCGTTAATCCGATTCATAGCAATTCTAACATCAAGTTAGTGTTGCATGCACCTAGGTTGTTTAACTGTATCGAGGATTGTCGGATTTAGTGTTTAATGTCCTAATCTAGTAAGATCCGAAGACCAATACACTATGACGTCACACGAACCATAAAATAGGTTTACCAAAGTCTATCCTTAAAATCAACATGATCATTTGCCTAAATCCATAAATTGACATACAAATGTTTTTATAAATTCATGTAACTTGTTTACATATTCGGGAGCCCCAAAATACTTGAAATTCAAATTTACTAAATATTCAAATTTACATTTTGACCTAACATACACAATTTCATTTACATTACATGCCACTAATACAAAAGACGAGACATACTCAAAAGCTATTGGCTGGTGTTAGTCGGTCTAAGTATAGGGTCCTCAAAAGGCTCCTACTCCTAACTTGCACACGAAAACAAATTTCGAATGTTGAGCTCACAAAGTTTGGTGTCACACTAATAACCTAACTATACTACATGCATCCTCTAATGTTTATACTTAAAACATACTTAAACATACTTAATTCATAATTATTAGCATACGAGTATACTGACTAAACATATGTACAAAAGGTAGGCATCATGGTGCGATTGAGGGGCTACATCTCGAAGCTCACGCACCCCTCTATCCTACCTAGGGTGGAAATTCATAATTATAAATCGGATTGTGTCACCCGCTAACTTGCTCCGTCGAGCCTTGAGGCATATATGCCCAGTTAACAAAGATGTGCCTAATGTAACATCTCAGGGTTGGCCACATCTTAACATACAAACGTATTCTTATTCTAGAGTGGTTCGGGTGTCTATCTTGTTTCTCGGACATCAATCAATGTTAGTTTTATGTCGCCCTAATTTTTCTCGTTTCTAATTGAAATTAGCAATATTTCATTTTAACTTATCGTTTTATTAGAAAATTATCTCAATTAAAAACATACTATATGTAGATGCTCGGTTTTGTCCGGAGGCTTCGTATCTAGTACACGATATAAATTTGGACCAGGGAAAGCCCAAATCAACCCAAACAACATGTTATCCTAGCTTACAGTCCACGTGAGTTCCTTCAAAACATAAATGAATATCCAGCAGGAAGGTGAGAAGCAGTTTTTGATCGTGGGTGAGATACTAAACTGTAAATGGAGTGGGGTCGGTTTTTATTGAAAAAAAACCGCCAGAAATGAAAGGGAGAATAAAAGAGGGGGATTTTTGGAACAAGGGATCGGCAACCATTTCGAGGGGGGAGATTATCAACAACAAGGGTCTCGTTTGTGTAGAAAAAAATAGAGTAAGCAAAAGGGGATTTCCACTCACTTTTCGAATGACGAATGGAAAGAATATTGTAGCATGAATTTCACCATTGTATTCAAAAACTTGAGAAAGCAATAGAGATACAAGTTGAGATTCAAGGTATTCTTTTGATTTGTTTTCGTTTTCCCGTTTTTATGTGTGTATGTGTGTTCAAAACTAATAAAGAAAAGAAACAGAAAATAGAGAGGAATTAGAAATCACCTGAGTTATGCGAAAGTTGGTGGAGTTTCGTTGACTCCATTTCGTTACCGTTTGGGTTCCATCGTCGAGGTGAGAATGGTGTTTTTGTTAGAATGTGGAAGGTAAGTAATCAGATTTAGGTTCAAAAAAACAGAAAATAAAATCAGTGAGCATTTTGAAATTCTTTTGTTTAGGAGTTTAAGGAAAATAGAAAAAGGTTTTAGTTTACTACCTTACACGGGGATGTTGCCGTTGATTTCTTCGGTGTAGAGAATGAGGGCTGGTATGGCAGTGTCGGAAATAAGAGTAGAGGATGGTGGTTTTGAGTTTAGGTTTGCATCGATTCGATGGTTGTGTGTATTTTGAGGTTTGATTGAAGGTTGGCGGCCATGGAAGAAGAAGCTTGTGTTCTCTCTAGGCATAAAGAAAAGAATTAGGAAGTTGGAGAGGGTGATGAAAACGACTGGGGTAGTATAAGCTTAGGTTAGATTTAGTTTAAAGTAAGTTTTATATTAGGTTTTAGGGCTAATCGCTTTGAGGTCCCTGCATATGCTGTTGAAGTCCATTCTGGTCCTGAAGTCGAGTCCTGGTTTCTTTGTAATTTGGTCTTTATCTTTTACGCACATTTAATTCTAGTCACTAAATCGAAATTTCCAAGTTTTAATTTGATCTTCATATTTGTCAGTTTTATTTAGTCATCAATATGTGTATTTTTCATTCTTTTTCTGTTTATTTTCGCATTTAGCATGTAATTTTGGTTAATTGACGTTTTAGTCTTTAAATCTAATCTGTTGTGTTTTAATTTGATCGTTGTATTTCATGCTTATTTAATTTTAGTCATAAATGTTGGTTATTTTGATTTAGACATTAAGGCTTCAAGTTTTTACATGTTAAGTTTTAGTCCATGTTTAAGTTTCTTATGTGTATGCATGTATGATTAGTTAAGATTCGTTTAGGGTGTATGCTTATCCTATGTTTGAATGTTAGTGATTTGTGTGTATATGTTACTACATGGTTCATAAGCATGGATTTAATTCCCTTTATTTAATTAATCTTTGCATGACATTATCTTTGCATTAATTACATGATATCCTCACGAGCATAACTCGACATATTACATAATTTAACTAAGGGTAATATCCTTTTAATTTAAAATTGTTGAAGTGGGCAGTCATAACTGATTTGAGGTTCGCTTTTAATGATTTTAAAATAAAAGTGTATCCCGAAAGTGAAACAAAAAAAAATTATTCATCACCTAAAATTTGGAAATGAGAGAAAAAGAAATGTTCGTTTATTTAAATATATCGAGAAAAGGTTGTTATATTTTTAAGGTATGGTCTCGATATTTGTAAATAATCGAACATCCTTTATCTTTCTAAAATGACTTGGTAATTTTAATTTAATTTGTTTGAGTGTTTTTGAATGTTTTAAATTTACATTTTTACTTTATGGGATCAAGAATCAAAATAAACTCGAATTTATAAAGTTCATTGCAAAGACGTTAATTAGTCGACTAGGTACCGATTTAGGGCGTTGTGGGGGTGCTAATCCTTCCCCACACGTAACCGACTCCCGAACTCTGATTGTGGTAACGCAGACCTCAATTTGTTGTTTTAATTAAAGTTAATTTTTTTTTAAAAATGACAAAGCATTTTTGGGTGTCCAATCACACCCTAATCAAAGATTGGTGGCGACTCTTTGAACTGTATTTTTTTCGATCATAAAGAAAATCCGAATTTTTCAAAATGAAAGGTTTTTTAAATCGCATTTGTTTTTAAATTAAAAATCAAGTGAAAGAAATAAATTAAAAATTAATGTGATTTTTTTTTAAAATCTCACCTTTTCACCTTTAAGAAAAATCGTTTCGACAGCTTGGCGACTCTGCTGGGGACCTTTTTTAGAGAGTCAAGCCGATAGTCGATTAATTAATTGTCTTTGCAATTGAAAATTACAAATTCGTTTTAATTTGATTTTTGATCCATTGTTTGGTTTTTAATAATTTTTGTTTGTTTGTATTTTGATTTCTTTAATTTAATTCGATTGACAATTAAATAGTTGTACTAATCTGTTTGCTAATGGTTTCAGATTAATTGTGTGAATTTAGGAAATTTTGAGTGTTTTTATTGTGTTTTTCGCTTTTCCTCACACACTGCACAATTGCTTTATCATAACATGAGCTAAAACCCCGCTCTGTCCTATTTAAGTAGGAGTGAGAGACTATGCCCTCGTGTGGTTTTCACCTCCGTATGGGATAGTGGATCGCTCCTGGAGCTCACGCCTTATGGTCCTCGTGATGGTAATCACCTCCGTATGGACATAAGGAGGTTTGTTCCCTCGAAATTGAACTCGATCCCCTAAAGCCTATGATGGGCCAGGATTGAGGGTTTGGCAGCCTAAGGGGGCACCGACAAGGACAATTCGAGAACCTATTACTTTAGAACCAAACCCAGCATATAATGAATATAGAGCCCGAACTTAGGTTGAGCCAAACCCGAGCCTTAAGAATCCCGTGAGGAGGGTACACAAGGAAAAGCTTTTTTGAGTCATTTATTTTCGTTTTTTCGAATAAATGCATGCGAATTAGATATCATGCGGTTAGGTTTATTTTTCGAACAAGTATGCGAATTAGATATCATGCGGTTAGGTTTTCTTTTTGTGAATAACGAGGCATGGGGTAGATATCATGTTGGGTAGGATCTGATAAAGCATGATTGGGTAGTCAGTATATGTGGGTAGGATTTTTGAACAAATTATTATCCTGAATTAATTGCTTCATGTTTACTAACCGATCTTTTGTTGTTTTTGCCTTGTTTCTTTTCTGTTTTGCATTGCATTGTCCATTACATGGTGTTGATTTGGGGTCGATGTCCATATAGAAGGCCAGTAATATGGAACGAACGTTTCAGAAAGAGGTTGAGGACAATGCAGATGTTCTGAGGTGGTCGGAACAGTCCCAATTGACCAATGGAGACAGCGTGATGCCTGGATACGTATCAGAGTTATTTGGTTATACTCACATCAACGTGCGTCAGAATGATCTAAGTGAGCTAAAGGAGATATGGGGAAGATGGGAAGCAGCCGATAAGGAGATGTTTTATCAGTTGTACGGCGATATTCCTTATCTTCTGGATGTTCCTATTGACAGAAATCTGTTTAAAGCATTGGCGCAGTTCTGGAATCCGGCTTATAGCTGTTTCACATTTGGTAGAGTAGACCTGACACCAACAATAGAGGAGTATCAAGCATTGGTCCGTTGTCCGAGGTCCCAGATAGATAGAATATATACCAAGCTGCCAGTCACTCATTCATTTAAGAAGAAATTACTATTGATGACCGGAATGAGTGAAGATTAGGTAATCAGAAACATTAAGAAGA